ATATATATATATATATATATATATATATGTCACAATAACCTTGTTTGCAACGCCGGGTGACCATTGGATAGACAGCTCTTTCAGAGCCAGTCCAATGAAGAATCAATGCTATGATTCGATGTTTTGTAAGTGGGTTAGATGCTACTAACCGCAACAAACGTGACCTGATGGTCTTGGTGGAATATTTGATAATGAGTAGTATGTGACTGAGTGGACAAAATTTCCCTGGAAGCACACGACCGGTTTCGCGGTTCTTGCCGCTCGTCAGGCATGCGTATCCGGTAATCTTTTGTCAGTTCATTCATATACTTGTACCCAGGAAGTGTATTTTCGTCACAATAACCTTGTTTGCAACGCCGGGTGACCATCGGATAGACAGCTCTTTCAGAATCATAGCATTGATTCTTCATTGGACTGGCTCTGAAAGAGCTGTCTATCCAATGGTCACCCGGCGTTGCAAACAAGGTTATTGTGACGAAAATACACTTCCTGGGTACAAGTATATGAATGAACTGACAAAAGATTACCGGATACGCATGCCTGACGAGCGGCAAGAACCGCGAAACCGGTCGTGTGCTTCCAGGGGAACTTTGTCCAGTCATTCACATACTACTTATTGTCACATATATGTATATATATATTCTGAAGCCCCGTCAACCTCTGAATCTGGGGGCCTTCAACGTGAGTACTCTGATGCAGGTGGGCGAACAAGCGTGTTTTGTGCGTACAATTAACTTTTTGGAAATCGATGTCTGTTGTTGTTTAACGCGCAAGGTGGAAAAGTGAGCGTATTGGAAGCTTGCCTAAGCAGGTCACTGTGCCCTGCCCTTCCACCGAACAGATAACGACGATCGACTTCTCCAGTCATGCGCAGACCATCATCTGTTCGTATCCAGTACCGAATTCGGAAACAGCTTTCGAGGGGCAGTAACTTGGCGCTCCAGTTCAACTGGTACGCTAACTCATTTCGACCACCTAACAGTAAGCCACCGTTCGCGTGTCTCAGTGCAGGTCGGAATTGATCGACGTACGTCAAGTAGACGTAGATACTCCGCAGAGATCCAGAGTGTCACGGTGCGTCGTGTCAGACCACAGCTAACTAAGCCAGCAGAATGCAGAGCATTCATGATAAGCGACCAGTGCTGATTGATTTAATCGGGCGGGGTTGGTTCTAGCTTTCTAGCTTGCGCGTTTTGGAGGACAGTTAGAAAGCTGGTTTGGATAGGTTTTCATAGTTTACCCGTCGTTGTGTCGTGCGTTTGGAACGCCCACCGAAGCACATGGACAGCTTGGCACATACTAATGCGTGGTCGGATTCGAGGGGAGTGCTCCAGGACGATCGACAGTCTCACCATTTGTCGCTATGTGGTCGATCTGTGTCCGTCACTGACTCGAGGAGAGTGGGTGCCAGATGGCGTACCGGCAGTTGGAGCGTCTATAGTTCGTACTGGCGAGGAGTAGGCGGTGGTCAGAACAGAGCCAACAGCCATTCACCGTCGAACGAGCGACTAGAGTCCGAAAGGATCCCCCAGGTGCACCTCACTCGAAGTTAATCGGCCTACTTTAGTATTCATATCTCCTGCTAAATTCCGATACCGGCACGGTTCGTTTTACGCAAGAGGTCGTGTAGTTTTTAGTAAAATTAATCTGCATCTGGACTGCAATCCGTCTGAGCGTACGCCGATACGACAAACAAGTTTCACCTGTCGTGACGACGATTGCTCACCTTGCACGAGCCTCTGAGTCTCACTGCGTACAACCTATTGTCGACTGGGATCCGATCCAGGAGGGCGGCTTCAGCTCTCTCACTGAGAGCCACACCAACGCCAACCATACCGGAAGGCACAGCCTCACGGTCCCCAGAGAGACATAAGTGAAACTTCATACATTGGTTTAATGGGGACATCAATCGGATAATGGAGCTGGAGTCTTGAATGCGAGTTTTTCGGATGCAACACACATCGATGGCTAGGGTTTTGAGCGTACGAGCTAAACACACCTGTTGTCCTATACGCATCATAGTACGCATATTAAATGTGGCTAGTTTGAAGGGCCGTCGAGGGCGAAGATGGGATTCAGCTGGTGGAGGATTCGGTGAGACTTGGATGCTAGTCGAGGTAGGATAAGAGCGAACAGCGGCAGAATTTCCGCCCGAGGCACTACTGTTAGTACGATCGTCTGAAGCACCCGAGTGAGCTAGAGGAGTTTTTTTTTGGGGGGGGGAGGTAGAGGTGAGTTGAGGGTAGGATGGGAAAACAAAGTGTGTACGGTGTGGAATGTTTTTCGCTCAATGAGAATGCTTCAGAGTACATAGTCATAAGAATGAGAAAGTTCATGTTTGCTCGTTGTGAGCCATTGTAGTACTCGGTCGCCCTGCCCAGATTTGTCCTTGTTCGGGGATTTTCTTTAGTCTTTGGACTACCAATCCTGGACTGCAATTCAGCATTGATGTTCCAGATTAGTCGGTGTACAGTTTTCCATTCATTCACTGGTTCTTGAAAACCCTGTCGGGCAGTGGATCTTGANGGTTTGGCCGATTGCGATAATATGCCTGTTATTTACAAACTACAGGAAACTAAACGGGTGGTCGTTCTGAGTCAATCTGTTTGATAATTAGATCGTAGTAATCATGGCGTGATGTCTGATATCTTTCACTCCACAAATCCTCTGGATATCACAGTTGGCAAAACGTGGACTGTCGAACAATGGAACAGCCTCGCCTAACGTGTGGCACTCGTCGGAGAGATTCAGATGCTGTTGACTTGGACATATATCGGTTGCCTCCGCCTCCTCTTCGATTATCCTGGCCGTTATGCACACTTCGTCGATTTGGATTCTACGGCAATACACTGTTCAAATTGGAGGCTGGTCGTCGAGCTCCACGAGGTGAGGGACACTATCTTTTCCGCATTCGAACGTTACGGGAGTTTCGGCAGTACTTTGAAGTACGTTCACGGTTATTACCTCATTTTTGCCTATTTTTATCTGCCTATATCGCGGCGCGCTACTTGATATTTTGGGGACCAATAATAATAATTATTATTATTATTAAAGTAACAGAAGAGTTAGTGATCTAACCTTATGCGTATGATTCCCGTTGCTTCACATAACTTTTCACACTCCCATTTTCAGTGCGACAAATATGACACCTTTTCGTGGAAACCCTTCATCGGTCAAAACATTGTTTCTTCCAAAGACATGCAGATGGAATCGCCCGTTTAAATTGTTGATTTTTCTACTCAAATTCTGACAAACTGAGCGTTAATTGGCGTTCTTTGATCAACTTGAACTCGCAAAACTCTTCAGTTGGCAACAAAAGTCCGAGATTACTTATCAAATGCNCACGCTCGCTACGTCACAGCGCTGTCCGCAGATATCTGTAGTGTTTTGTACGGATAACCCTTGCCAGGAGGTAAGCCCACCACATCCTCGAGCCTGCCTACTGATCGTCCTTGACCACTTATTCGGAAGGCCGAAGCCTACCTTATTCACTTTTAGCCGCGAGATGACCGCAGTTCCGCCATCCGCAACCTGAGGACGCTCTCGGTAGCATACAGCTCTTGTCTCGCCAACTCGCGACTCCTGTGACGCCACCATAGCATCCGTCTGTCCCTTGAGAGAAGCGCGTACATCGCTGCGTTTCGTAGCGTTCTAATTTACGGTTGCGAGGTCGGCCTTTTCGCGTTGAGCGTGCTAAGCGACTTTCTTTATTCGACCACTGATGTCTCCGAAGCGTTGCTCGTGTCTGGTGGGAACACCGAGTGAGCGATGACCAGGTTTGTCTTATGTTGGGATTGGCTAATCGCTCTCTAACAGAAGTAATCACTGTGCACCGCACAAAAAATTGTTGTCCCAGTTATTTTTCAATATAGCTATTCCCATTTCCCTCATTTTTGTTGTGTATTCTAATCCACCTGACTCCTGTTATTGCTGGGTTAAATATATATATATATATATATATATATATATATATATATATATTGAATATCTTTGGTCTTTGAGGTCAAATGGATTGATACAGACAGGGGTCGTTGTAAATGGTTACTTGCCTGACCCTATTCAATGGTTGTGCGTGTTCCCGTCATTCTTCGTGGTTTCATGATAATTTATGAGGAACAACGATTGATGGGTAAATAAAACTGTTTTGCAGAATTGATAAGGAACAACAAGCGAATTTTCTGCCGATATGTGCTGCAGTTCAGATTGACTTATTGACCTTTGATGGCAAAACATGCGCCGTTTACGTTACAACAAGGCTGGTGTTGCTTTGTACATTAAAATTTGCTTCTAAATAATAATTTTTGCGCTTAGTANCTGCACGAATTTCTTTCGAAGGTGATGAAGAATATTCACTCAGTTGGTTATTTGAGAAAGAGAGAGATCCGTAGTGTGATGGTCTCTCAGAGATGTATTCCTCCTTCATTAGATACTAACACGCAAAATCATATTCACCAATAGTAGGCTCCGTTTTGGAGGAACGAAATCTATTCAGAGGTGCTTTTTGACACTTACAGTAGGTGAAGCAAGATTTTACCTTGATAAATTTGATAAGAGAAGCCATAATGGTAACATTGCACGACTTATTTCCCGGACAATTTCGCTGCATCTCAACTGATGCCTACTGCAGGCAAGTACAATGTATAGCGTTTGGGAATGGATTACACAATAAATAAACGTGAATGGGTTAGGGTCGCAAGGGTAAAGGCAGGGGGATGAACAACTTCTTCTGGCTTTGGTTTCAATCGGTTCATTACAATGACCTCGGCCCCCTAGCATTCTGACGTTATAGTTAGTATAAATCACTCGAAATGCTTTCTCTTTATCAACGAGGTGTTGTGTCATCAAGAAGTTCTTGGTGGTCGAGGAGTTTGGTGTTTTGTAAGCAGCATTTGCTGACCGGTGTCACTAGTGTATTGCAAAGCCATGCATTCGTCTTGTTCCGACAAGCCTCAACGTATTGTTTCCTTTTGCTGTATTACCTTGGGGTCCTGTAAACACATGGTACTGGCAGTCCTTGTTTACTCTAATTTTTGTGCCATCGGTTGTTTTTGGCGACTTTTTACAAAATTCCACTGGCAATATCTTCTGAAGGATAAAGTATGTTATATATTTAGTCATTGTGTATACACCGCTTTGAAAACTCCCCGGGATGTATGTACCGGATTAACGTCCGATAATAGAGAGACTCGCAGATACAGAACCCCCGAATTCGCGTCAGAACACAAGGTTGGGAAGTCTACGTGTACTGCATAATGAATAAGGAATCAGTGGAAATACAACGACATACCTCAAATTAGGGGCAACTCGGTCTGGACAAAACAGTCGGTTCAATACTACAAGAGCAAACGTGCTAGGAAACCACTATCTGTTAAATCAGAGGAGGAATGCGATGTGGATGTAGAGACAGTGCTATTTACAGGGCGGTGAGAGCCAATCACAGGGATGGGAAAGCTA